AGGTTACCAGAGTACGTAGCTCTATGTATCGAAGGTGTGGATCTAATAATTGTGCAGCGCTGAGGAGCGCACGGTTTAATAAATATCGCATACTTTGTTGTTCTCATTTCAGGCACAAAAGCATGTGCTTACATTATATCAGAGTAAACAGTGCGCTGAAATGGGGGCTGAGACGCTACTATGACCAAGCAATTATAGTTTCATTCTTTTACTGAAAAGGCAAGCCCTATACCCTTCGACGATAATTAAGTGATAGCAATGTGATTTGGTAGGACTAATCGCTAAGTCGGTGATCAGCTTGTGCCCGTAAGTATTGTAAATTCTCGCACGCAATCAACTACTGCCTCAACTACGAAGTAGATGCGTCCACATGCCCGCGGAATGTTTTGAAGACATCGAAGCAGTGGATTGGCTCTCCCGCTGCTACAACCACTGCAGCCACTGCGCTCAGCTTGCTTACTGCAGCTAGTGTTATTATTGCTTTGTCACGAAACAATTTTCCACATTTGAAGCATGTACTATTTCAGAAGTTTGCTTCGAAATAATCAATTAAGGGCGATAGCGGAGGAGGTGTGATAGCCAAAGTGGACGGCAGGTTCTACATAGTAGGAATAGTTTCTCATGGCTCAACTTGTGACGATCTTAGGCAGGGGATGTATGCTAGAGCACAGGTCAGTGATTTCAAGTCCTTCTCTTTTTTATTTATCCTAAATATTAAGGTAATGACTGACATAATGTACTACACAGCTGACATTGATACTGCTATTGGTGCAAGAACTATCGATAGGAAACAGCGATGGGAAAAAATTAGGAAGGAAATAATTTCAAAGTCGAAGAAACGAGGTTAATGTGTAGATGTTGAGCTTGCAATGAAGTTTAAGCCAAGGGTTTTGTTTCTGAGTTTTAGTGAAAGTGAAACAAAGTTCTTGATTTGTCGGTTCCTTTTTCCTATCAATGGCGGGACCGAATCCCTACTAGGTCTACGGACTCCCAAACTTGCACCTCATAAGTAAACTTCCTTCAAACACTTTTTCCACATACAACAGCGCCCTTGTACACATACGTGCTTACCTGGCTCTGGCAGGTGTTATAGGGATGCGCCCTTGCAAGGCGCCAATAACTACGTCCCGCTTATGCTTCGGAAAGCTTCGGTTGGCATAGCTTTTGACTAGCGCTAACAAATATTTCCTTGAATGTGTGT